TCCAGACTCCCAGCAGTGCAATAAAACTGTATGAGAATGGCTAGGATCTTACTTGACAATCCTTACAGCATTTGAAAGTTACTTAGGGATTCAGTTTTGCACTCCATCAGCCAAGATACCTGGATTTGAGAATCCTGAATTGTCATGAGTGTCATCTCATAGTTGTGTATTAGTGCTTATTCGCTGACAGAAATAACCCAGCAGCCTTCTTTAAAAGGTCTAGGGGAAAAGGAGAGTGACAGTCTCACTCCTTTTGTCTGAGAAAGGAAGAGATCTCAGGCAACTCATATAGGTTAATTCTATCCCTTTGAAGATTTTTGCTTTTAAGAATTCTGAACAGTTTTTTTTAAACTAGTAATTAGAGATATGGAGATGAATGGAAACTAGGTTGAAATAAAAAATTTATCAAGGAAAAGCAAGTAGTGCACAACTCATTTCATTTCTGTCTTTCTTCTGAGAGGATGATTGAGCATCAAGTAGTAGTTCTAGTCTATCAGGCATCCTATAAGGTATTTGATACAGTTAATTATAGAAAATGAATATTTGAATCTAAGAAAATGCACTTGGATGTAACCGTTGAAAAAATTATCAAAAAAGACTTAGAAAGCAGAGGCAAGAACACACTTATTTAGAAAGAGAAACCATTAGTCAGGAGGAAGATAATTTTGCAGAGTTTCTCAGGGATCAGTCTTCTGTTTATTTTGTAACTATTTTGAGGAACTGGGCTACTGTAATTTTCTGCTCACACAGCTTGGGTGTTATTGTCACTGCACAATCAACAGAAAATATGAAAAGCTGGCTAAGGAGGTGTGCTTCCAAAAAAGTAGATTAAAGTCATGATTCCACAGTTCAAGATCGTGTACGCAGGAATTAGTAACTTGTGCATAACGAGTTCATTAAAGAAATGAAATTCCTAATCTAACATTCACAGAAGGATAATCCAGTATGATACATACATAAAGTTGTGATCACCCAGATTCAAGAAAATTTATTTCAGATGGGAACAGGTGCAAAAGAGTCTATTAGGACTATTCAAGGAAGGGAATTTTTATTTTGTAAGGGGAGATTAGAAGAATTGTCTTATTCAGGCTAGAAAAATAAATTCTGATATTTCTGCTACCAGTGAAAACGTCAGGAAAGAAAAGAGCTATATAAAGACAAAATTGGCAAAGGAACTAATGGTTATAAAACTATGACTAAATTCAGACTGGTGGTCTGAAGACCATTCCAAGTCACGGAAGGATGAAACCCTCACTATGTTTTTCCATAAGAGCAAAAAAAAAGTAAAGAAACAAACTACTTTTAAGATAGAATATGATCAATCAAACAACGGGATTAGGTGAAGTGGTGGTGTAAGGGTTTTATCCGGGAGGGTCTGGTGAGTCTTATGTATGTCTTACGGTTTTAAAGGGAGGGTGAATGCTTGACTACTGCTCAGCTGTCAGGTCGCATAGCTTAATACACTGGAGAGCCCAGAGGTGGAAAAACAGCCATTACGGAGAATTGCAAGAACTTCCTCCCCACAGATGGATCTTGGTAAATTGCAGCCCACTCATTTATGTTGTCCTGAGTTTGTTATCAGAATTAAATTCAGTTATAAGACTGAATTTCTCAGTAATTTTCATTATTTTAGCCACAGAAACTACTGGCAAATGACTGTAGATTTTGTAGTATCCTTATGTCACATTAGAAAGAGACTATATATGACAAGAAAAAATGCAATGTATCTTCTACTTGCTTGCTTTCTCTTACCTGTGAGCTGGGACAAACCATACTGTGAATATTGGCATATGTCTTAGAAGCTATGAAAGGACAAAAAAACTTGAAAAGCCATGGTTTCATAAAGCAGGGATGTCAGCAAGGTAAGCTGTGCTTGTCTCCATCACCCTGCCCAGAAAGGCAGTTAATTTTTTGTGATTTTCTTTTGCAAGCAGTTCTGCACCATGCCTCCTAGTTGTGCCTTGGAGATGCATCATCTGAGGGTGACCAGGATGATGATGACTCTAGATACCTTGTCTACACTAGTGCCACAACTGCTAATGCAACTGAAGCAGAAAATTTCAGTGCCTGAAAAGCTGGCAAATGCATCTGTTGTGAGTTAACACTCATAAGCAGCAAAGCCTCACACAGCTTTTTCAGCTCCCCATAGCTGACTTTTCAGCCTCCCACAACAGGCTGGGGAGAGAATTGGAAGGGCAAAAATGAGAAAACTCATCCATCAGGACGAGATGACAGTTTAATAAGTCAAGAAAAACAAACAAGCAAGCAAACAAACAAGTGATGCAAAAGCAATCACTCACTACCAGCTAAGCAATGCCCAGCTAGACCCTGAGCAACAGCCACTTTGGAAAACTCCCCCTCTGTTCCTCCGTGCCTCCAGCTTTTACTGCTGAATATTATGTTATACACTATAGAATATCCCTTTAAGTCAATTCGGGACCAGTGTCTCAGTCCACCGCGTGCTCCCCTCAGCCCCTTGCCCACCCCTAGATGACTCACTGTGGCAGCAGAGTGAGGAGCAAGAGACTGTCTTCATGCTGTGCAGGCGTTGTTCAGCAACAGCTGACATTGGTGTGTTATCACCACTCTTTGGTCACAAAGCTGAAACAGAGCAACATACAGGATGCTAGGAAGAAAATTAACTCCATTCTAGATAGACCCAAGTACAATATCCTACTGCTAAAAGACAAGACAAAACATTTCAGTGCTAATGAGTAAGTAGTTCCTTTTTCATTCCAATGAGATTTTCTCTTCTTCACTGCGGGATTAGCTGGATGAAGAATTAATTTACAGTTTTGTGATTCTCTATTTTATTTTAAGCCAATTCTGATTCAGCGATTATTTTTGTTACAGTGTGGTGGTAAGTTGATGTTTATGTCACTTAACATGTGTTGTAACACCCCCATTCATCTACACCATGATACTAAACCTGATGAAACTTTGTTGTGGGTAGGCTAAACTTTTAGTACTTTTAGATGCTTAAAAATCTGGGAATAAGGCAGTTCACACATTTACGCTATTAAGTTGCTTCTATTACTCTCTTTAATCACACCAATGACCCTTGTGGGACAGTAATGTACTGCCAAAACAATTCCTGTTGTAGTCTTAGGGAAATTTTTGCTTCTGCTAATTTAACCAAAATAACACTTCAGTGCAAAGAGGAAAGACAAGCTTACCTTCCCAAAAGGACAGCTGAATTCTGAAATACCACCTCAGTTTCTGTTTCTGGCAGAACTAAAACCAGAAGTTGCATGGAAGTGTCTTTTTTTTTTTTTTTCATTGTTGCAACATGTGTAATGGAGTTATTACCATATATGGCTTATCTGCCGCCTATGAGAAAGATTTGGACTGTCCAGCCATTGCTTGAAGACAGTGGTGCATCCAAGGGAGGCTTGGGGATTTATGTAAAATATTGTGTGAATTTGTGGCTGCTGGTATTGGTGATCAAACTGTGTGCCTCTGCCTTTGTCAACAGCAATTTCTCAGGGAAAAAATGTGATTTTTTTTTTAATTAAAAGAAATTATTAGTGTACAGCACAATTCCATTGACATGTACAATGTGAATTAATCTCAGATATATTATTAACATTAGTGGAAGTGTTCTGCTGTATCCACGGAGGAAGATTCTGCGTTAGGGAATTTCCATGGGTCTTTCATTTAGCTACGTTTCTTCTCTGTCCTTTTCCATGAAAGGACCATCTGACCTCTGGGAAGGATTTCCACACATTGCAAAAGGTGAACAGCTCTAAAATAAGCATTAGTGCCTTAAGGATAAGCTCTGTCCTATGAAGAAGATCTCAGAGAGTTCCAGTTGTTCAGCCTGGAGAAGAGAAAGCTCCAGGGAGACCCTATTGCATATTTCAATTTATGAAACAGGCTTATGAGAAAGAAGGCAAAAGACTTTTTACCAAGGCCTGACTTTTTACCAGGGGTAATGATTTTAAACTGAAAGAAGGCAGAATGAGATGAGACGTAAGGAAGAAGTTTTTTATGATGAGGACAATGATACACTGGAACAGATTTCCCAGAGATATATTCAAAGTCATGTTGGATGGAGCTGAGTTCTGAAGGTCCCTTCTGGAGTTCTGAAGGTCCCTTCCAACTGAAAACGTTTTGTGATTCTGAGATTACGTGATTCTGTGGTTGTTCATATAATACAACAACACAGCTGTCCATAGAATGTTCTCATTTTGTTATGTATTTATTTAAGGATCTCTTTGCTACCATATCAGCTGTTTAATACATTCAGATTCCTTCCTTCCTTCCTCTTTGACTACGTCACAGTATAATTTACATTTTTTCAGTATAATACATTTTGCATTTTAAAGATGTTTCTAAACGTGTTTTTACTGAAGATCATGTAACGCTATAAATTGAAGAAACAGAAAGTATGATGTGACTAAATGCAGCTTAGAATATAAAAGCCTTAAAATTAAACCAACAAGGATGAAAAATTGCAGTAAAGATAATCACAAAACAAATGCAAGTGTCTGTTATCTTTTATAATCAAAAGTATGCAGTATTAGAAAGCAAAGACAGAATTCTTGATATAGTAAGTTTAGTTGGAGTGATTGTTCCCATTGAACAGGTTCTATAAATAACACTAAGATGCTGTTCAGTTACCAGGCAAGTTTTCTAAAGTGGCCAAGCCAAAAGCCAACTTTTCTAGTTTCAGCCGAATTTAAAATGTGTCTCATCCCTGGTAGAAGTAAGATCTTTGTGAGTATATGCTACCTCCATTCAAACATTCTCCAAACACCATTGCTGATTAAAGGAAGTATGTATGAGTGCAACATGAACTATTGCACCCTCACAATGTTAGTGACCATTGTAGAAAATATTTATTAATCTCTGACTCATCATCACAGTAAGGATTTGTTTGGGTTTTGTTTTTTTTTTGCTAAACTGAGTATGCCTTTTATTTTTACTTTCTCCCTTCATGTGTTCTTAGTTTTTAATTACTGTTTTGTGCACTGATTTTAATTATCTTTCCCTCACAGGCTGCTTAAAAAACCTGAAAGTGCTCAATGTGAGCTTCAATAATTTAAAGTCAGTCCCTCCAGAATTGGGTGATTGTGAGAATCTGGAAAAACTGGATTTGTCTGGAAATATGGAAATAACAGAGCTTCCATTTGAAGTAAGATAAACTATTTTACTTCCATCTTTTTTATTTAGTTTGTAAGATATATCACAGTCTTAAAATCTTTTCTTAAGAGATTAAATCACATTCCCTGCAGCTTTTAGCAATAATGATTTAGTAGTAATATCGCTGAAAATGCCTTAGCAACAGTTAAACTGATTTTGTTAGTGTTTATTCTGGTATATGAAGACGGACATGATCTCAAAGGGGATTTGGCCAGTGATGATACGGAGAAAGCTGCAAATAGCTATTTTCTGTGAAAGTGAAGTGCATCTTGGCAGTCAAATTCATGTAGTAACCTTCATTTGTTCCCAGTGTCTGTTTTCCTTTAAAAAGAGTACGGAGAGTTCTATAAACAACACTGCATGGTGCTACGAGCATAAATACCTGTCTGAAAGGGGTGTTAGGTGTGAGACATGATATGAAAGAATAATAAAGACTGAGAAAAAGACTCCCAGGCATGCATCAGCATTGTTTCTTGTATTGGATGCATAACTGCTTTCTGTCACAGCTGCTCTGAGACTTACTGTTTGTGGAGACATGAAACCATTGGCTGGTACCCAACCACAGTTTCAGATGTCATCTGTGTTTCTCAGCTTCTTATATATCCTGATTCCTGGAGGATGAGCTTCAGAGAGAACTGTCAGGCTCTTTACTGATTCCTACTTTTCACTAAATGTCTGTTACTGGCAATTTATAGGTAATGTTGGAGTGGATCAAACCCATTTTGAACATGCTGGTGTTTTGTTCCGAGGAAATGCTAATTTCCCCTCTGATTTTTCACTGTAAGGTAGATTATCTGCAAAAAATTTTTTAAAAATTATGTGAAGGGAACAGAAACAAAGGGTAAACACTAGTTTCACATCATAAGTGGGCACCACTTAGAAAGGCTAGGAACAGCACATACTGTGCAAGTCTCCTTTCTCCTTCAGATAGCAAGGATAGTGGACAAATAAGCTAAAACTTAGCTGGTGAAGAGGAACCATTATGGAATCAGAAAGATGTATATCCTGAACAGGTAAAGGAATTAAATATAACTGCCTAGGAAAAGAGACTTAGACAGGCTAGAGGGATGGGCAGGAAGAAATCTTATGAAGTTCAATAAGGGCAAGTGTAGAGTTTTGCATTTGGGAAGGAATAACCCCATGTGCCAGCATAGGTTGGGGACTGACCTGCTGGAGAGCAGGGTAGGGGAAAGTGACCTGGGGGTCCTGGTGGACAGCAGGATGACCATGAGCCAGCAATGTGCCCTCGTGGCCAAGAAGGCCAATGGCATCCTGGGGTGTATTAGAAGGGGTGTGGCTAGTGGGTCGGGAGGGGGCTCGCTGCCCCTCTACTCTGCCCTGGTGAGGCCACATCTGGAATATTGTGTCCAGTTCTGGGCCCCTCAGCTCAAGAGAGACAGGGAACTGCTTGAGAGAGAGCCACAGAGATGATGAAGGGAGTGGAACATCTCCCTCATGAGGAAAGGCTGAAGGAGCTGGGTCTCTTTAGCTTGGAGGAGGCTGAGGGGTGACCTCATTTTTTTTTTAAATACATGAAGGGGGAGTGTCAGGAGGATGGAGCTAGTCTTTTCTCAGCGATGTCCAATGATAGGACAAAGGGCAATGGCTATAAGCTGGAACACAGAAGGTCCTGCAAAAATATTAGGAAAAACTTTTTCACTGTGAGGGTGACAGAGCACTGGAACAGGCTGCCCAGGGATGTTGTGGACTTTCCTTCCTTGGAGACATTCAAAACCTGCCTGGACCCGTTCCTGTGTGACCTACTGTAGGTGATCCTTCTCTAGCGGGGAGGCTGGACTAGATGATCTTTTGCGGTCCCCTCCAGCCCCTAACATTCTGTGATTCTGTGATTCTGTGAAAAGTGAGTGTATTCAAACCTGTGGACTAGAATGGTGAATTTAGCTGCAGTTTTTGATGTGTTAAAGTCAATGAGTATTTTCTCAGTTGCTTCTAGAGCCCTTGTGGAGCAAAGTGTTACTCCTGTCTATGCATTATGTGTAGCCTTTGCATGTAAACCTTACTATGCATATAAGTCTTTCCAGGGCTAGATCTTAAAAGACCAGTACTGTTTTCTGGGAGAGACCAAAAATGCTGTTCCCTTTTGACAGTCTTCTACTCAATGGGATTGAAAGGCACTAAAACTGAATGTAGGCTACCAGGTTCACTTATAACCTACAGAAAAATTCGGGAGCTGTGCAAATGACTATATATATAAACAGCAAAAACTGGGAGCAACATCATGTCAGAATGGTCTGAAAGTTCAAGGAAAAAATATTGGCATTGCCTATTGTGTTTCCATGTTTCTCTGGAGGCTGGCATGTAATTTGTACTTCCAGTGACCTGGAAGTGACCTAGGCTACATAAACTTTTTTTATTTAGATTATAAAATTAGTTTCCCAGAATCATCATTTCAAGGACATCTTTGGAAGCTGAACATATAACTAAAGGAACACTTCTGCCAAATGATTAAAATACTGTGAAGAATTTGGCCTTCAGTGTACTCAATAGGGCTGATGTTATTCAGAGCAATTGCATCAATATTCTTGCTAATGTAATAGGTGTCTAACGTTTGATTCTCAGATGGACAAAAGGTGGTAGTCCCTGGCAGGTAACTGCTTAATGAATTAAAATATTGCATTAGCCTGAACAGTCTCAAAAGAGAAAACAGAAAGACATTGCAAAGTGTTGTGGAGAGCTAACCTTGGCTAACAGCCAAATGCCCAACCAGCTGCTCACTCCCTTCCCGTCCTTAACATGACATCAGGATAATATCGGTTAAGAAAGTTCATGGGTCAAGATAAAAGACAGGGAGATTGTTTACTAGTTGCTATTGAGGGCAAAACAGGCGGTACTTGGGGAAGGTTAATTTAATATTTCCAAAATATATTTGGGTAGTGAAAAACTAGGACCTTGAAACAACAACTTTCCTGCCCCCTTGCTCAAGGTCAGCTTCACTCCTCTCTAGATTCCTCTCCTACCCTTGAGTGATACAGAGAAGTGAGGGATGTTGTAGACAGTACACAGTGGTATCTACCTGCTTCCCTTTCCTCCTTGCACTTTTCCTCTCCTCCATTTTCTTCAGGAATATCCATCTGTGTCAGCACGGGTCTTCCACAAGCTACAATGTGGCTACTGAATATGCCCTCCTCTTCCTACTCCAACCTTTGTGTTTCCTCTGCTCTTTCTCACTCTTTTCATTCATTCACCCTTTCTTGGCATCTTTTTTGCTTCTTAAGTTTTCAGAGTGACACCATACACTTGACTGGGGACCTCAGATGTGTCCTGTGGTGGGTCTACTGGAGCTGACTGGAACTATCTGTGTTCAGCAAAGGGCAGCCTTTGGTCTCTTCCCACAGAGGCCACCCTGCAGTCCCCATGCTGCCAGCACCTCGCCATGGACACCCAAGTTAGTTAGATTAGATCAACTATCCGTTTATAACATTAGGAAAAAAAGAGAAAACTTGGCAAGAAATACATAAAATAAGGCAGATAGTAGTTGCTAAAATGTTTGCTGTTTATCATCATTTAGGAAGTTCAATTTTTATTTGACTTTCAAATCCTTAAAAGTTTCTTCTGGAAAGGTTAAAGAAATGTGTGAGAGAAGCAATGATATTATCCAGTGTAAAACTTACTCAGAAGATGTAAAGGCAAACTTCAGCCTCGCAGAAATGATCAAAGTCTAATTTTACCTAGGTTTTGTACACAGAGTAATGGCCAGAGAGACACTGATAACATATCAAAAAATGTATTCAAAGATATTGATAACATGCTGTGATTCAGTCACCGTAAAGGTTTATGAGATCATCAGAACTCTGAGACTGAATCACCACTTCAGTAATCAGTCTCACTGTTCTCTTTTTATCCATTTTGTTTATGACAGGTGCAAAAATTAAAGAAGTCTTGAAGCTTTTAGTTTATTTGGTTATTTAGTTGTCTGCTTTCTTAGGAAAATTGTTCATTTTTTTTTATTTTTTAATGGACACAAAATATTACATGATGAGCCAATTTAGGGATAGAAATCTCAATGAGATGGATCATATAACACAAGACTAGTTTCTACCCATAAGTGGTAGAGGGTGAATGTAGGTTATTACACAATAACAGACAGTGTCACCAAATACTAATTTTGAATTGAAGTTCCCAATTTGTGAAGATAGCTACTATACATATGCATAAATTTTTGCTGGCATTTCCGTTGTTTCTGTGCCTGAATTTATCAGGCAGCCACGAGAAATTCACAGCCTGTGAATGAATTATCTTTTAAGACTGTTAATTTGTTCCTTAAACAGTGAAATTTCAGGAAATACAAGGTGCTGAGCACCTTTATCTTGAACTACTTCTTAGGTAAACTACAGATGCTAAGGAGGTTTCCAGTATCGTGACTATACTTCTTGCCTTTTTAATCTAACAATTTAATTTTTCAAAACACTTGCTCTAAACTGAGATATACTCTGAATGTGATGCTCTAGTATACCTGAAATCTTGTGGATATTCTCTTAATACGTCCACCTTTTTCAGTGTGCAGTGAACAAAAACCACCTCAAACCCTATCATTCTGCTTGGCCTAATGCAACCTGTTTCATGGAGTACTGTATCAGCCTTCTAGGAAAATGTGTGTCCAGTACCTGGATTTTTGTCAGTGTTTCTATCTGACCTTGTGCCATACCACTAAGTGGCAAGCACAATGATCACATGTCTGCTCATTTCTTGTAGAAAGTTCTTTTTCTGTTTTCAAAGGCCACTCCCAGCACTCTGTAACTCATTTCACTGAATCTTAAAATGAGGAAATCTAATACTCCATTTAAAATATATTGAGGTCTCATGCTCGCCTTGTTTACTTTCTCAGGGTTTGGGACTTCATACCATTTCACACTATGCCTAAGGGTGAGCAGGATGGTTCAATGTCTACTTTTAAACTTATTTTTCTCTCTTCTACTGTTGTAACATTTTTAGGTTTTGAAATGTTCCATTTAACTCAAATATTAGATTGTT